TTATTGTGAGGATAAAGACACTGAGGTTCCAAGGCCTAGAGAGCTTGCCCCAGCGGAGATAACTGAGATAAAACAGAGCTGGGATTCAAACCAAGTGGCCCTGCTGGGGCGGAGGCCCAGTGTAAACAGACAGTCAGCCCACATGTCGACTTCCAATGAAGTAAACATGGAAAATGCAAGGTCATCCATTTGACTTTCTCCATTAACCTCTCTAGGGCTCAGCTTCTGCATCTGTAAAATAGGGACATTGAAATGTGAAGTCTAGAGTTCCATGATTCCATGATTCCATGATTTGGGGTTTAAAAGTACAATAGCATTATTTTAGTGTTCTCAACTTCATTTCCCTTTGTGTTGTTTTAGCCACACTCTTCTATTTTTGTGTCTCTGAGAAGTCTAGTTGTCAATTCCTTGTGGCTGAGAAATCTCAATATTATTCAAAAATACACTAGAGATGGGGAGAGGGATCCCAAATATCCTGGGGTATAAACCAGCATACCGGAGCCCGAACTTTCAAAATAAAACTGATCGAGAAATACTATCCAGCCTTTTCAAAAAATACATATATAAACAAACATTGAAATCGAGGATTGAGAACCTCAGTGGTAAACTCTAACCCATATCTATATGTTTAAACAAATAAAGACAAAGAAAAAGAAAACAGTAGTTACTTTACTTTTAATCGATCTTAACTCCATTACTCCCTCTCTCTCCACCTCCCTTTCTTCTCCTGGATTATACTTCTGGCCACCAAGGAGATTTTCCCACCATGTAATTTGGCAAACCAGTGGTTTAATTCCCAACGCTACCAGTGGGTAATATGTTTTTTATATGGAGGAGAGGGTGGTGAGAGGGAGATTTCTAAAAGGAGTCTCGTCGCTTAGCTAATATGTTATGTAATAGAAAAGATATAAAGAAATTACTCACTGGCTTGCTGGTGTAAGAATAATTCAGGTTCCTACACAGGGCTTCAAATTAACTGGTGGAATTATCTTTACCTACAGTTGTATTTTAGTGGATTTTTTTCTATTGAAATCAAAAGAAAACACAAACTTCCAATCAGGAAGAAAGAATAAAATGCTGTTCTTGTTTTCTTTACCATTTTTGGCACAGTTATTTGACAGCAATCCACAGGAATAACACAGATAGCCTTGCTATGCACACAAACTCCATATCCCACTATAGGAAAAGGTTCAGTTCAAATCTGGTCACATTGAGAAAATGAAAACTTAGTGTGGGTGAATATAACTCTTTATAAAAACTGAATTCTCTCTGGACTCGTGTGCCCTGCATTAACTCCAGAAATTGGCAGTATGGTTGAGTCATTAATCTTAGAGGAAGAAATATAAACCAGGTGGGCAGACTCCTAACATCAGCTAGGCCAGCCCCAGCAAGGATGGCTAATTAGCTGCCCTGAGTGTCTGCAAACTGTTGAACTTTAACTCTGGCTCCTGCCAAACTCAGTTCCAGAACAAAGAGTGGCTATTTGCGACATGTCCATTTCTGGCCTGTTTGTGTTACCAACTCATAACATTTTAAAAGATGAGAAGAAGATTCTAGAATTTTGAAGGCATACAGCCGCTTACTCTGTAAGACACCCGTATGATTTTTCCTAGAAAATTCAACACAGAGCATTGGCAAGAGTTCCCAATTTCTCAGATTAGGCTTCTTTTTTGCAGCCACTTCCATCTGAACTCCTCCTGAGAACAGAGAGAACCCAATGTGAGCTCATCACGTGTCAGACACTTTACCAGCATTGTTTCTAGTCGTCCTTATAAAGACTTTAGGGACAGCGTGACCCCATCGTGCTTATTTTACATCCTAGGGAGCTGAGGCAGAGAACATCGTGTAAGTTGCTCAAGTCCTCAATTAGTAAGTGGTGTGGCTACCATCTCAGTGTGGGCCGTCAGACAGGTGAACCTCTTCCTTCTCAATGGAAACAACTTTTAACAAGCAGTTCCCTAAGGAAATACTGGAATTAACTTGCAAACTTACATAAGAGAACTCTATTTGAAGAGAACTCTATAATGCTATTTGATCTTCATTTCATTAAAATCTGAAAACAAAACAAACAAACAAACAAACAATAAATAAATAAATAAAATAAAATCTGAAAACAGCCATTCAGAATGACCTTGTGAAAACACAAATGCAATAAGCTGGTCTGGATTAAAATTAAGAACCTTTGCTCTGAGAGACAATGTCAAGAGCATTAGAAGAAAAGCCACAGACTGGAGAAAATATTTGCAAAAGATACATCTGGTATAGGAATGCTATGGAAAAGATATAAAGAACTCTTAGAACTCAACAATAAGAAAATAAACAACTGAGTTAAAAATGGGCCAAAGACCTTAAAAGATACCAAACCAAAGAAGATTTATGGATGGAAATAAACATGTCAAAAGATGCCCCACATCATATGCCAATAAGGAAATGAAAATTAACACAGTAAGATACCACTACACATCTATCAGAAGGTCAGGAACACTGACAACAGTAAATGCTGGCGAGGATGCAGCAACCTGGAGCTCTCGTTCACTACTGGTGGGGATGCAAATGGTGCAGCCACTTTGGAAGACAGTTTGGTGGTTTCTCACAAACATACTTTCATCTTACAATCCAGCAATCCTGTTCCTTGGTATTTACCCAGAGGAGCTGAAAACTTGTGTTTTCAAAACCCTGCACACAGATGTTTATAGCATCTTGATTCACGATTGCCAAAACTTGGAAGCAACCAAGATGCCCTTTAGTGTCAGTGAATGGATAAATAAACTATGGAACATCCAGACAGTGGAGTACTATTTAGCACTAAAAAGAAATGAGTTATGGAAGCGTGAGAATCCATGGAGGAAACCTGAATGCGTATTACTAAAGTGAAAGAAGCCAATCTGAAAAGGTTACATAGTATATGATTCCAGCCACATAATGCTCTGGAAAAGGCAGAACTATGGACACAGCAAAAGGATCCCTGGTTGCCAGAGGTTGGGTGGGGAGAGGGATGAAGAGCTGGAGCACAGTGGATTTGTGGGGCAGTGAAAATGTGGGATATTATAACTATGGATACATGGCATTTTACATTTGCCCAAACCAACAGAATTTACACCACCAAGAGTGAACCCTAATATAAACTACGAGCTTTAGATGATGATGTATGGGTTGGATGATACGGGTGTATCAGCTGTAACATACGTACCACTCTGGTGGGTGACGGTGATAATGGAGGAGGTTAGGCATATGTGGGGCAGGGGGTATGTGGGAAATCTCTGTACCCTCCACTTAATTTTGCTGTGAACTTAAAACTGCTCTGAAAAATAAAATCCTTTAAATTTTTTTATAATCATAACTGCTACATCCAACACCCATAGGTCTGGGTGACTATACAAAAGCCGGACTGTTTTGATTGAATTGACCCAACACTTATTTTTTTAATACATTAAATTTAATAAATAAACTAATTAAGAAGAAGGGAGAAATTCAACTCTCTGTATCAATTGACTAGTTCTTGAACTAAATCGATGGGTTGTCTGAATTGTTTGACAAGCCCCTTCGTGGGGTGAGAGTGCGAGTCTGTGTATTTTCTTAGAACTCACCTGTCAGGGCAGTCAAAACTGTGTGCGGTGTAGACATGGCTGACAAAGTGTTCTGAGAACTGATTAAAGACAAAAGTTCTTTTAAATCCATTGGGCTCCAGAGGTGCCATTTTTCGGTGCTTATTTACTCCCTATTTTTCCTTTTGCTGGAGGACTTGAAGTGTTCTTGCAATTTACAATACCATGTAAATTTACCAAATTACACTAATACCATGAAAAATAAGCAGCTGGGACTAAAACAAAAGTTTATCTAGAGCAGAGGTTCTCAGAGTGCTGTCTCCAACCAGCAGTACTAGAATCTGCCTGGCGCTTGGTAGAAAGGCAAATTCTCAGCCCACCTCAGGTCCTCTCAGTCAGAAACTCTGGGGGTGGAGCCCAGCAAACCATTCAAGGGATCCTGGTGCTCACTCAGGACGGAGACCCACTAAGGGAAGAGAAAGCAGGGACACTCCAGGCACCACAAATAAGCATTTGGGCTCCTGAGGACTGAACAGGAGGGCCTGGGGCATTCTCCTATGCTTTAATTAATACTGTGTTTCTTAAAGTTCTTTTGTGGGTTCTTCATTCATCTTTCTTTTTTTTTTCATTTGTATTGTGTATTGAGATAAACACCAAAGGAAAGAGGGAAGAAAAAATGACCATATGACCATAATGGAGAAAATTACAATTTTGTTACAAACCTCTCCTCTGACACAGCCCTTCCTCCAACACTGACAAGATCCCTGGCCAATCCAGGGTGTCAGTTGCTGGCTGGGTTCCAGGTGGAATGTTGGTGTGTTCCCCGGGGCTTGTCGTGGCTGGGGGATCCATGGTAACAGGGCAGAGCCCTGTGGTGGATCAGTGCCATGGAGGGGCTGCCGTCCTCTGTGGAGCTTGGCTTAGGGCTTGTCTTTGGGAAGCTGAGTGAGGTCGTGGTGTTGCTGCTGCCCAATGGCCTGAGTTCATGGTTCTCTTCCCAGAACCTAGAAGGGCAGACATTGGCATGTCCACCTGTCATCAGCTTATTGGTGTGTGTCTTATGTACTTTCAGACTTGTTCCGTCTTATAGAAGTTGACTTTATGGAAGACATGAAGAGAAGTTGGCAAAAAACGCTGGCTGCTCTGATTGAGGAGAAATGCCAACTCATTGACAAGATTTGTGCGCTAAAAAGGAGAATGCTGGGATGGAGACATCTGTAGAGAATGCCAGGTTCGACAAAGATTCAGTAAATATACTTAGCCTCACTGATACTTACAGAAAAATGATGAGGGTCAACCTGAGTTTGAGGAAGGAACTCAATTCTCTGGTTAAAGAACTGAAGAAAGGGAGATTCCTGCAGTCTAAACAAGAGGAGATGGCAGAGATACTAAAAGTGCTCAAGTCCCTGGGAGAGGTCATGAGAATCCACACGTCCCAGGAGGCTTATGCTCTAGTATGGAATGTTCCATCGTGCGTCTGCCCCAGATTGTGGCCTTCAAGAAGAAATACAAGGCTTACCTCTACATAGATGAAGCTCACAGTATCGGATCTGTGGGCACCAGCGGTCGTGGTGTGGTGGAGTTCTTTGGAATGGACCCCAGAGATGTTGATGTGTGCATGGGCACATTCACCAAAAGCTTTGGAGCCTTAGGAGGTTACAAAGCTGGAAGGAAGGTAAGAGAGAGGTCCCTTGTGTCTGGGAAGGCAGTCTTCAGGGTTCTGTGATTCCCATGAGTGCTCCAGTTCAGCTCAGCACACCCCGATCCATCAGCGCAGGGTAGCCACAGCATGGTCACAGCCAAGCCAGGCCCAGAAGGTCGAGGAGCTCACCCTCTGCTAGAGCAGAGGAGCCTGTGATGAGTGATCACATGAGCATAAAAAGACAGCACTGTGTTCACAGGCACAGACTTAGTACAAAGGAGAGGGATGATGACCTCTGCTGGGCAGAATCTAAGAAGTCTTAGAATGAATGTCAGTCTTGCAGACAAATGATGGGGGGGTTATATTTCAGAAAGAGGGGATAATGAATATCACACCACAGAAGTGATAAGGGATGTCACAAAACTGTAAGTAGTTTGGTTGTGTGGCAAGAAAAACACAAGGTGGGTGGTAGAAACAGTGGTCAAAGGTGAGGTGTTAAGAAGGCAGATCCTGTGCTGTAAGTTGTGGGGTTTAAGAGTTTTAATCAAAATAGTAGCAAGATCAGAAATGTCTTTTTTTCAAGATTTTTCTCTGCAAAATAATTCTCTCCCACAATTTTGGATAAGCCATGGGTCAAGCCTTGTCATCTTCCAACTTCTTATCTACATGACTTCAGATTCTGATCTGATGGAATTAGACTGTTACCCCTGTCTTTCTAGTGCCAATATCACCAAGGGGGTTACCAATATAAAAGAAATGTTCAAAAGAATTTTAAAAGAAGAGGGAGGGGAAGGAGAGAAAGAAAACGAAATGTTAAAACCTAGGTTTGAGGGATAAAAGACGCAGTTATCTGCTCCCTTGTATGACAGTTTTGTCCAAATCCTTGTAGCTATCTCTACAGGCCTACACCTGTCCCAAGAGACTGTCAGGATGGTGTTGGTTCCACCTACAAGGGTACAGCAGCCCAAAAGGAGTGCATGCAGGTGGTGGCTAATGGCTCATCTGAAATTCTGAAATCCTTACTCATTGTCACCAGCAGGAACAGGAGTTCAGACTCTTGGGAAACCAGTTAGACAAACCAGTGAGTACAGCCAAAATCCATCTGATTGCCCATGGTTTAAAATGACAGATTTTATTGTGGCCACTCACATTGCCATGCAGTGCACAAATGCTTAAAATGTCTAGAGCTTTCAGTGGTCTTCACCCTTCCATAAGCATCACTATCTTCCGAGCTCAGCACGTTGTTGTTCATCTTCCCTCCTCTGGCCTGAAAGAGTTAGCTGGGAGATGCTAAAAACATAGGGGTGCCCAGGATGCTACAGAACTCGGCTGAATATGGTGAGAGGTTAAATGTTCCTCTCCTCGACTGTCAAAGCCATGGGATCAGAAGGTCTCGAACTTAGAAGCGCCCTCACCCCGGCTACTCTCCTCTGTTAGCTTGTGGTTTTGTGATGACTTTAGCAGCAGTTCTGAGCTACAGATTTTTTTCACCAAGTGTAACTCTACTTCCTGAACCAAAGGCACCTGAATAAACTGAAGTGAGTGGATCCTTGAAATGCTGTTAAATTTGGTAGCTGTCACAATTTTCCCCTTAGAGTTCCTTCATTGAAACCCGCTTGAAACAAGGACTCCTGACAGCCCGAAGTTCCGACCAGTTCAGTGTAGTTCTCTCTCGTACACTCCATCCTGAAGTCTGGTGGATTAATTTAAAAGTGTATGTGTTCTTGTTTATGTAACCTTTATTGATTTGGGGTAGATACTGAGCAATTGTGATTATTTACATTAATCAGGATGAAGAAAAAGTATGCAAAATATTTTTGCTCTTTAAAAACTCATTCTGTGCATACTTGGACCCAGAGGGCTGCATCATTCTTCCTCCTTTCCTTCCTTCTCCCCTCCCCTTCCCCTCCTCATCCTCCCTCCCCTACCGCCTACCCACTTCCTCCTCCCCAATTCCTCCGTCTCCCCGCCTCCGTGTTACACTGCAGTCTCTGAATTTACCACTAGGTGGCAGCAAGAATCAGAGCGCCTTTGGCGGAGGCTCTTTAGCTGGATCTAACTTTAACTTTTAACTAACTTTAGCTGGTACCTGCTGGTCTGAAGTAGCAAGACACAAAACCTAGAAAACGGAGCAATCTTCAAGATGTGGTGCATGCGCACGAGATAGGAGGTCCCTTGAGAAAATGTCTGCATATGTTGTTTGCTGGTGATTTTAAAATCAGTCAGGTAAACACCTGTCTGGAATCATTTGGTGAGACTGTGATAAACCCAGGGAAACTGGTTTCCTTCTAGCCTCAGGAGCCTATGAGTTAATGGAACTTATTCATCTGCTCCTCTGTGCCTTTAATTTGTTACATTATGTTAATTTTAACTTATGTGTAGTTTCAATTTAAATCATAGTTTTGATTCTCCTGAACTTTGAAGAATTTTGTGAAGAATTCTCACTTTAAGTTTGTTGTAAACTACGCTTTTGATAGGACTCAGGATTGGGGAAATGCCAAAGATCTTTGTTTGAAAAACTCTTCCTATTATATATTTAAATAATTAGAGTTTAGTTTTCCGAGTATCGTTATACATATTTTTTCCTGGATATTTTAAAATAAATGTTAAAGGACTTTCTTTACATTTCTCCAAAATCTTAATAATTCCAGTGTTCATAGGGTTTCTAGTAAATCTTGAGATCTGAAAATAATCACTTGGGTCCAAAAATCTAGAAAACTATAAAACTGCCTAGCTCTTCACTCTCCTTTTAACTGTCAACATCCGTGTTAGTGGTAGAGGGACGATATTCCTAGTAACAGTTTCTAGGAGGCTCTAGAAATCTTTATGGAGCAGATCAAGGTCGGAACTGCACCCATTAGCAACAAGATGTGTCACATAAGAAAATATATTTGGAAACACACAAGAGAAAAAGTGGTTTGGTGCTAAGATACGACAACAGAGAGGAGAGATTTTGTCTTGGCTTCAGCCTTCCAGTAACAAAACATCCTGCAGTTCATCTCTGCTCTTGGAGTTTCCTGCCCTGGCCAGACCAACTCTCCCCACGTCAGGGAACCTGCAAATACAGTCTCTCAAGAGCCAGAAAGGTTTTGCTGTTTTGCTCCCTGTGAGTTTGGAGGTGCTGGAGATGACCTGCGAACAACCCAACTTGAAGTATTCCGTTCTTTCCAGACCTTCAGTGAAATGCCAGGTCCCTACTTCTCTCCACCTCTCAGAGCTCCCCTCCATAAACGGCTTCTTTGAAGGAAGTCTGAGTTGACAGGGCTAGTTTCCTTATTTTATTTTTTAATTTGTGTTGCTCCAGTCTCTGAGATGTGGATGACACTGTGGACCCCAGGTTCTGGGTCCAGATTTGTCTCAGGCAGGATCCTGAGTCCTCTTGCCTGCCTGGGGCTGACCACTGGCTTTCACAGCCTCCACAAGGCCAGGCACTGGCGAACGAATGGGGACAAGGCAACCCTCCTGACTGCTGGGTTGCAGGGCTGGGGTTCTGGAGGAGGGAGGTGCGGCAGGGCAGCCAGGTTTGGAGTGAGTGTTACCCCAGGAGCCTGGCACCAGACCAAGGCAGAAGCCAGCTCTGCCCTGTGTGCTCAGGCCTGGCTGTTTTAAACAGCGCTTTGAAGTAAATGGGGGTCGTGCAATGAACACCAAGATGTTTATTCTGAGAGTCTCCTGTCTGATTTCCTCAGAAAAGCCACCTTTGTCCTTGAACTCTAGGCTCTAGTTTTGCACTTACTAATGGCCTTGGAAACTCGGTCTGAGGAGACCTGTAACACCCCCACCCCACCCCACTCCCAAAGGAAAACACAACCCAGACCTGCCTTGCCAGAGACCAAAGCCAACTCTTAACTGCTCATGGCGCCCAGTGGGTGAGTGACAGGAGGGAATCAGAAACCAGGAGCCGAGGGTCCCTTGATGCTCTGCAGAAGTTACTCCAAGAGACCTACTTTCTGAACCACACAAGCAAATTAGCTCCCATCCACACACTCAGACTCTGAGAGAAGGTGGACTCAGTCTGAAAGAAGTAAGATTAAGGACAATACAGCTGATGCAGGAAAACAGATATGGAGCATGAGAAGGGCTGTGTCCCAGGCTTCGGTTGAGCCCCTGGGATGTGCCCCGCCAAGCGTGGATCCTTGGCTTTGTGCAGGAAAGAATTCAAGAGCAAGCCACAGTTGAGTAAAGGTAGATTTATTCAGAGAGATACATTGAAAGGCAAGAAAAAGGCCATGAGGTGTGGGGGTTGGGTGCTCTGATTAGAAGTAGGTACACATTCCATAGACAGAATGCGGGCCTTTTCCAAAGAGAGGGAGAGAGGGGCGGCCGTGAGGTGCCATGTTGCTGGTTTTTATGGGCTTGGTGGCTTCATATGCTAATAAGTGGAAGGACCAGTCTAAGGGGAAGGGGCTGGGATTCCCAGGGAGTTGGCCATTTCCATGCTTTGACCTTTTGTGGTTAGCCTTGGGACTGCCATGGTGCCTGTGGGTATGTTATTCACCATGTTAATACTAACAATGGGTG